GATGGATACAGCTTCAGAGAATCTCTTTTCCTGATGTCACCGTATTCTAAATATTTTTACGCTGATTTATAGGTTGGTTATTTTAATCTTCAGCTTAAGTTTGACCTTTCTTTGTAATGTATGTTTGTATTATTGTTAACTACAAAAAGGGTATAATTCACCAGTATGCAATGAAGCTTTGAACCCGATGGACCAAGTGAATCTGGCCAATGGGCTATATGCACGGGGAGGCGTGACGTCATTTCCTGTTAACGCAGATCAGCCCGTTCACTTCCTGCCTATCCATTTAGGTGGGTTTTAGTGACATTTTTTAGTAATTAGATTGATACATTCAGCTGTGAGACTGACCCAAAAGTGTCGCTGTGCTTTCTCTCTGAGAAACAGCTTTGACTGTGGCCACTCAGAGCAATTTTTAAACTTTATAAAAACACAATCAAAGAGCACTGCTGTGTCCCAAAAATGCCCAGTATCCTCACAGTTTAATTCCCGTTTGAGCATTATTTGGGAAACTCGTGTAAACCACAGCTGAACTCCAGTGAAACTCAAGCCATTTCCCGCAAACAGGAAGTGAAGTGGGGTTGTATCTAAAACGTGGAAGTGGTGCTTGTATAGTGAAAAAGTCAGTATGTGTACCTCATGATTATTCTGAATATTTTAAAATCTTTCCAGTTACTTCCCTTCATTGTTTACCTGGCCCAAAGTACAATAATAATGGCATGTTTTAAATGTTTACAATACGTGAGAAACCGGCCTCCTGCACTACCGCTGCTCTGTCAATATCTATTGTCTGACACACACAGGATTAACTGCAGAATGTCGCCCTCTACTGGGGAAATACCTCACCTGCAACACAGATCTCCATTCACAGTCTCGACCATTCAGACCAAGATTAAAACGTTACTCTTTAAATCAGCTTACGGCTTGACAAAAATAATACATAAAACCACACAGGTATTATTTAGACGTGTTTATTACTCGTGTGTATGAAGCAAATTCCTTTTTTGTGACTTCCTGTTACTTCAATGACAATAAAATAATTCTGAGTCTGGTACTGATTCTGCCTCAACTCAACTCAAAACGTTATTGTTCCTAAAGGGAAAATTGTTTGGTGGAGCAGTAAAAAAACGAGCGAGTACTGTGCATGTGGAGCAGCCTGCCCTTGTATTTCTTTATTAAAAAATGTGTTTCCCCTTTTTGGCCACTTGCAAAAACTGTCATTTTTTTCATTGATATTGTGTGTTTATCATGTTTTAATGATGTTAAGATTTTTACTGTATTTTTTATTGTAATTTCACTGTTTGTATTTGTAGTAGATTTTCTATATCGTCTGCTTTTAATTCAAGTGTATTGCTTTTGGCTTTGGGGGACACTGTTTGAACTGTGCTTTATAAAAACAGTACAATTGACGATTGATTATGTGTTTTTATGTTGTGCGACACGTTGGCCTCTTGTAGTTGTAAATGAGCCATATACAGTAACTATACTTGACGAAGAATGACTTGTGCACCAATGAATCTCTCTCCTATCTGTAGTCTGTTTATTTCTATTCATGCTCTGTGAAAGTGTGTCTGCTTCAGAGACACAATGATTGACCCTGAACTCCTGATTGTCTGACATGAACCTGTGGACCGGTTCCCCTCTCCTCCCTCACCTGGAAGCCCTCTCCCTATACCCCAGATGAACCCATGTGAATCAAAAGACTTTAATGATATAAGCCTGTACATTTGTGTTTTATTGTGGTTCTCCCCAAAATGTCTCCTTTTCCTCACTTGAGTTTGTCTAAGTGGATCTAAGGGGATGCTCGGGGACAGTTATCAATTTCCTAAATTCTTGTGATCATTGGTTAATCTTTCTGTCTTTTCCAATTACTGGTTTATTGGTTTGATTTTCTACACTGCTGGTAAATCAAATATTCCTTCTAGACCTGCTATTGATTTGGATTGTATTGTTATGTATTATAAATGCTCATTAGACCATTGTGTGTATCAATTCTTTGCAGATTCTGCGCAGGCACCATACATGTAAAGCCTGGACTTGACTACTACCTAACTTTTATCCAATGTCCCTGTCAACTAAATAAATAAATACATGTTGGGCTGCACCATTCTTTGGAGCAGAACCTCATGTTTATCACACTAATTAAAATAATAATGACCTTCTTCAGCGATTGACGAGTGGCCAACAGTGATGGATGTGTGACCTGGATGTTGTGACTTTGGAGATCAGTCATAACCACGCACAGACGCTGCTCTTATTCGGCTTAATGGAAATGTCACTAACTGTCGTGATGAATCGGTCCACAGCGCGAGTCACAAGTGACGGCTGCTGGTTTGAAGCAGGATGAATGAACACACAGCAGTTATTATGTGCCAGTCTGTTCCAGCCAAGGATATGGAGAGTTGCAAGCCTAATAATGCTTCTTGGGCTCTCAATAACAAAGGACTAGTGAACAGGCTACAGTGCAGGCTTGTCAAACACGGAGCCAGGGTTTTGTGTGGCCCCTGACATGATTTTCACTCCTTACAGCATTGATTATCAGAGGTTAATTTGGCTTCTGTGCTATACATGATTTTTAAGCTCAAGAAAATAACATCTTTCATTTTATCTTAATAATAATAATGTCTTTTATTTAGCGTTTTATATAGCGCTATGGACACTCAGCATGTAATTATTCATTTACTCCATACTCAGTAGTGTTAAACTACTACTGTAGCTACAGCTGTCCCCTCTGACCACCACCAACTATTCACACACACACACCAGACTCATTCTGGGCAATGTGGGTGAAGTGTATTGCCTAAGAACAGGACAACAGTTGGACACTTTACAGCCGCAGCCGCCCCACTGTGGCACCTGGTGTTCCCTGAGGTCTCCCATCACAGTACTAACCAGGCTCAGAGGTCTGACAGGATATGGCTGTCATATGCAGATGAAATGTTTAGATGTGAAATCTAAACGTTAAACTCAAAGATAGTTCACATACACAGTATATTTAAACCATATCAGTCTGCAATTCTCAGTCTTTACCATATGTCCAAAGTCCAAACATAACTGAACTCTTTTTGTGTAAGAATATCTACCAGAAAATAATGCACTATAACAGGACAGCATTACCTCATAACCAAAACAAATGCAAAATATTAGCCTAAAAATAAACTTTCAAGAAAAAAAGGGAAGAATGAATACCATGATATAAAATCCGGCCCCTGACAAAAATGACTTTGACACGTGAAATATAAGATAAAAAGAGTATATACCATTGCAGTAGATAGTATACTTTTTGGCTCAAAGAATAGATTTTAAAACGGCTCTGCTTGTGTACAAGTCTCTCCATGGCCTTGCACCAGAATACATTAGTGACATGTTGGTGTCATATGAACCAGCCCGGACTCTGAGGAGCACAGGGACTGGCCTCCTGCTGGTGCCCAGAGTGAGAACCAAACATGGGGAGGCTGCGTTTCAGATCCATGCAGCTAAGATCTGGAACAATCTCCCTGAAAATGTGAGGGAGGCGTCTACTCTGTCAATGTTCAAATCCAGGTTAAAGACTGTTCTGTTTGCCTGTGCATACAACTGAAGGATTTTATCTCCATTTTTAATGCACTGCTGTCATTTATTTATTTTTTTAAATTTCTTGTGTAATTTTGAAAGTTTTAATGGTTTTATTCTTTTGTGTGATTTTAATGTTTTAATTGTGTTTTAATCTTTTGTGTGATTTTAATGTTTTAATTGTGATTCTGGTGTTTGTTTTATGTGATGATTTGTGATGTGGACTGTGAAGCGCTTTGTGTTGCCATGTGTATGAAAGGCGCTCTACAAATAAACTTTGATTGATTGATTGATTGATACTTTTATAGAATACTTTTTGGACTTGTAGAAGTACTTTTGCTGTGTCTAAAGAAATTACCCCATAGACAAAGTCAGTACACATTTTTTAATAACATGGCACAATTTACATAACACAAGTTTAAATGAGGAGCATGCTGAAGATTCAGTCGCTTCATTTTTTCTTATTTTTGTACATGGTCGAGAAAGACTGTTTTTTTCTGTACATAGTAAACAGGAAAAAAGATCTTATTTAACAATATTTTTGCAATACGCATCTACTAATCACTATGGCTCCAGGTAAAAAAACACTGCACAACATGATATATCACAGGTTTTGAAGCGCACATCTAAACCGTCAGTGGACTACTAAAATAGATCTCTGCTGCTCGCAAACCAAGGCCAGTCGCTCTTTTGTCTTTCGCCTTTGAACATATAACAACTGAGAGAAGCACGTGAATTCACTGACCAAATTGTACAGACTCTACTGGGACAGAGCTTGTGGCTGCGCTCTCCCCAAAACACGACCTCACAAGGAAATGATGATAATCCGACATTCGTGCTGTTGGGAATACTGTATCTTACACTGGGAGCTTAGGGATTGTCACCACAATTTGTAAAACGATTTCAAACAAATAAAAACAATTGTCTGCGTCTGCATCTGGCTCACCACGGTGTTGTATCTGCGTTGTGGGGAGAACACAGCTGTGGACTGACAGGCCAGCTTTCAGAGAGGGGGCCAAGATTTTCTTTTCATTTTGCATAGTTGGATATGGGAATTAAGTATTTAAGTGTTAAGAAGCTGCATCAACCAATACAACTAAAATTGTTTAGCAAAAAGCACATTCTGAATCAGCACCTCAGTACTCCTCTATTTACATGTGTTTAAAGTAAAGCTTTCAAAACATTCTTTGCATATTTGTACCATACAGAGTGAGAACAGCAACTGTACATTATCTACACACTGCTCAGTGCTAAAAGGGCCTGTACATTCCAAGTGCACCAACTTCAGATTGAGAATGCACACAAAGCTGGAAAACCAGGAAAACATTGAAAACCTTCTTTTTTCAGAAGACTGTCTCTTTGTACAAAACATTGCCTGGACATAACTTATTCACAGCTATCATACAGTCTGAACAGTCTAAGTGCTGTGTGAGGCACAGGGCAGGGGCTTCTCACCGAGCCTCGATGTCTTTGTGGGACGCTCTGTCCCGAATGTCTGCACCCAGGGGGGTAGTCCTTCTGGGAGAGCCGGGGCGGCCCAGAGAGGGGATGAGGGGTGGAGGGGCACTCAGGGAGGCTGTTACAGCAGTTTTATTCAGAATCCCGTTCTGATGAGCGGTCGCAGCTGCCGCCGCTGCTGGGCTCACTCTGGAGTAGTGCATGCTGTGGAGTCCAGGGGCGATGAGGCCGGGGGCCGGGTGAGGGAGGTGGGGGTCCAGAGGGTGGTGCATGGAGGGAGGTAGACGGCCGTGTTCATACTCCTCCCGGAGTAACGTGAGGCGCTCCCGCTCATCCATGGGGAGGCGCTCCACCTCCCTGCGGTGCTCCATCAGTGGGTGATGGTCTCTGTTAAAGTCATGGGGCTCTCTGTCCCGGTACGAGCGCTCCGCCTCGTACAGCCGAGGGGGACCCAGCCGGCTCAGGGACTCGTTCCTCAGTAAAAGTTCTCTGGCCAAGGGGTCTCGTCTGTGAAGGTCCAGGCCCCTGTAGGGGTCCCGCATAGGGTCCCAGTGGAAGGCAGGGTAAGGGAAGCGTTCAGCTCCTGGGATAGGACTGATGCCCATAAAAGGAGCAACAACTCGAGTTCTGTCCAGACTGCTGATGCTGTTGATGGGGTGCACGCCGGGCATGGCCATGGGCAGGGGCATGGAGGAGGGGGGGTGCAGGCTGGGTGTAGAGGGGGCTCTCTCTGTGGGCCCGTCCTGCTCCTCTTTCCTTTCCTCTTTTACTCTGACCTCGCTGTTCTTCTTTTGCTGCTCATAAGACATGTCCTTCTTGTCCAGGACGTCCCGCGGCAGGCCGTTGGGCCTGTCCAGACTGTTCTGCCTGATGTAGGGGGACGTGGGCCCCCGGCTGGAGGCTTTGTCCTCAGACGTCCTGCTGTCGTGGATCACACTGTCCTTGTCACTGTGCTGGCTGTCTTTCAGCTTGTGCTCCTCTGGGCTCACCTCTTTCCATGAGTCCGAGTGCTCTCTGTCTTTGGCCTTGTCCTTGTCCCTGTCTCTGTCTCTGTGGGGGTCTCCAGAAGAGGGGGGGAGGGGGGTTCTGGTGTGCTCTGGAGGTCGGCTGTGGCCCAGAGAAGGAAGTGGATTAACAGACACAGGTGAGGGATGGCTTGAGTGTCGCTTTTCTACAGACGCCCTGGAAATCACACAAAACATTTATTAAACAAAAATACTTTAAAAAGGAATATAAACCAATACTAAAGAAGCAGAATGATCTGTACCTGTCCTTGTCCTCTTTGCTCACCGAGTCCCTCTTCTCAGAGTCCCGGTCGTGAGAGCTGACTGAGGCGCTCCTCTCGGACTCCCCTGGTTTGAGCCAGGGTGGTGGGGTGGGGAACGAGGGTGGGGTGCGGTGCAGGCGGTTCCATGGCTCCTGGGGGCCATTGCCACCGCTGAAGTGCGTCTGTGAGTTAGGGCCATCTTTATGGCCAAACATGGAGTTAGCCGCTGCCAGGGATTCAACACACGGAAAAGACAGGACACAAGTTAAATGCGTATTTTACAAATATAATCAATAACATACAAACATATCAGCAAACACAAATAACTTGAAATATTTGTTATGAAATCTCAAAGTGACAGAGATTACAAAGTAATCTGATTTATCATAGCAAATCAATCATGTAGCTTTTCCCTGAATATGAAACTCACTTAGTGCAGGATTCCCTAGTCCTCCGAAGGCTGTGGAACTGAGAGCGGCCAGGCCTCCAAAGGAAGGAGGGCGACTAAACGGCTCTGTGGGAACATTCAATCATGAAACAAAGCTAGACTAAAGTCTGTTACAATGATTGTGATTATAATCCCTTACCTAAGTGAGGGGCAGGGGCGAGGAAGTTCCCGGGGTGGTGGGGTGGATGTCCGAAGGGGCTGGCAGAGGGGTGCGTTGGACCTGAGCATGAAAACACAATGAACATCTGTACCACAGATCCCACTGTTCTATCCCAGTGTAACCCCCACAGTGCCCTCTTGTGGAGCAGAAGAGAATAGGCATTTTCACATATAACAATCAGGAACTACAGCATTTACTACATTGTCTGTATTTTGATAATGTCACCCTAAAAAAGAACAGAAAAAACAGAGACCAAAATGTGATTTAGAGAGCTCCATGACCTGATTACCAGTATACAGGAACAAGGAAATCTCCTTTGTGGTAATCTTTGTTTGTGCTATGTACCTAGTCAGATTAAGGAGGTTTTAATTTGTGTCATTACTTTCACTGAATATGAGTTTGTATATTCTCTGTTGGTCTTTTTTTGAATGTGTTGGATTGAAACAGAACTGGACCAAAAGTAAAGAAGGTTTATTTTATTTGTAGGTTTAATGTTATCAGTAAAATAAAGGTGGTGTGGTTTTCCTGGGAAAGTTAGCTTTAAATGAAGTGTAAAATGCCATGACAGGACAGCAGAGCTCACTGAGCAGTGTGTAACGGTGTCCTGAGCTCCACTACAGCTCCACTACAGCACAACACTGCGTGTATACAGTAGAAGGACATGTTTCGCGGCGTCATGATGCAAAGGGTCAGCTTTCACCACATCCTACCTGCTGCAGAGAAGAGCGTGGCTGGTCGGGCCAAGTCATTGGGATGATGAATGGCCCCAAACAGACTGGGGCCTGGGGGTCGACTCAGGAAGTCTGGCTTCAGCCCAAAGTCTAACTTGTGAGGGTCCATCTGCATCTGCTGCTAGAAAACGGAAGAGCACAGAGAAGCACATGTAAAGCCCTTCTTTTATCATGGGCACAGTTCTCTCTGCTACAGAAGGATGGACTGAAACATGCAGCTGTTGAAATGTACTAACTGCACTAATGCTGTGTCTGTGTCTGTCCTGCTCTGAGGAGTCAGAGGAGCTCACCTTGACCTTCTGTTGGTGGTGGTAGATCTGCCAGGCTGTATGCACATGCATTGCACACCACTTCCCTGGTTTCTGTAAGCACAAAGTAAACTCACTCTTATGGTTCTTTTGCTGTGATGTTCTATTCTTATTACATGGAGTAAGAAAAAGGAAGAAATAGGTATATAATTTCTTTTTGAATTATTGAAGGAAAATTACTCACCCTGAGAATGGGCCGAAAGGGATCCGTTAACTAGAGGGAAAGGAAAACAAAAGTCAGCTTTTGCTTTCAATCAACCAATAAAACAATACTTATCTATCACTATATTTTTACCAACTAAAATAATCACTTATAATATCTGATAATATAGACAGTCGTGTCATGGACAGAAATGACATCTGTAAAAAAAGTCTAATAAAAGTCTTGTGTGGAGACTTACCCTGGGGTCCTTCTGGAGGAAGGTGTGTGGGACGGCTCCTGGTCTGTTGGAAACATCCAGTGGATTGGAGGTCTGTGGAGTCAACAAAAAAAGACAGCATTAGGCCAAGATCAGACAGATGTGGAGTCTGGAGTCTGGGTCTGGATCTTGGTCTTACCTTAGGTTGGAAGGCACCCTGTAGTGAACCGAACGGCCCATTTGGAGGAATGACGGGTGGCAGACCAGACATGGCTGGTGGGTACGAGTGGAAGAGCTGAAGAACAAGAGAAAATATATAAGAAGAAGCTTTGAAGAGCAGAAGTGACACATTTAACTGGATATTAAATTTAACAGTGACAGAAATGTTATGCTTTTAAAGTAAAACTCTAATAGAGAGACACAATACTATGTCCACACCAGTTGAGAAAAGTCTGTTTAACACTGCAGAGGAATAGCCAACAACAAATTGGACACAGGCTTTTTTGTTGGAAAAATGCTGAATACGGACAATGAGACGGATAAACTCCAAATTCTAATCATTTGTAGCTTGTCTCATACCTAACGTTTTTGGACTCATATTGCTTACAAACAAAGAAACAAACACACAAACTTGGTGAACACATAACCCCCTGACGACGGTAACGACAAAGACTTTCGTAGAGGAACTTACACTGTGTCTGTAGAAGGGGTCGACTTTCGATGGATATTTTTCAAACTGTGGGAGAAATAAAACACATTAGACATACAAGTAAACACTAAGTAATCACACACACACCCACACTCACACACATGCACCCTGCTTGCATGCCCTCCCCCCCCAAAAGATCAGGGTACATTTAAATCCAGAGCATATCCCGTGTCTCATTGGCTCGGCCCGTTTAAGTGTTGCATTGCGGCTCAAGGCGAACATTTCCCTCGTCAAGGCTAAACAGAGCGGCTATAAAGGGCCTCTTTATTGCCTCATTAGCCGTCAGTGGCTGCCTTTGAGCCCCCACAAACCCAGGGCGGCCACGGCTGAACTCAGTGGAAACCTGCCTGTATGAGCCGTGGTCCGCGGTCTCCCCCCGAGCCCCCCACCCCTCCGCACAAACTGAAGCAGCGGCCTCTCACATTAGTCATTTGTCAGTAATGAAAACCCCTAGAACAGGATCCAAATGATGTAGTTACATTTTGGAATACATATTATGGTTTGGAGCTGGCTCAGGATCTGCTTCTGGCAAGTTATTGGCAATTCAGAGTATAATGGTCTTTGTCTGCAGTCAGGGAAAACGGCGGTTTGTTGGGCAATAAAAGCATATTTGTGGCATGTTGATGGTCATTATTGACAAGTCGTAAAAAAACGTGAACAGTAATAAAGATGGACATTTTTCGGTCATAACGTTTAAATGATATGTTGCTATATAGAGGCAGAAGAATCCAAATAGATATTTATCATCATGGAGTATATATTTTATCAACTTGTAAATGTCAAGTCATATTTTGCTTTTAAACATTCTTTTTAATGTTTTTACCCACATGAATTTTCAGGATTCACTTGTATGTACGTATAAACAGTTATTTATGTTACAAGTATTTACCATTGTTTACTTGTGGCTGGTTTTGTAGCCGTTAGCGATATGTTAAAGAAATGGTAAGCAAAAGCCTCTGAACATTGATTTAAGTAAGTATTAGATTACCTGAGCTACTTAAAGCTGGGGTACCTAATTTTCATACCACACAAAATGGAACAGTGTCATATCATCCATACAACTAGTTTCTCGCTTTCTGTTTCTGAAATGTTTGGTTCTATTCATGTACTTTTGGCCTCTGTCACATCTTTAGATCAGCTTTTTTCAATCAGAAAAGTGACATGTAGGACCATCCTCACTGGACCAATCAGCTCTCAGATCCCAAAGCATCAAATAGTGACTTCTTTACAAGTGACAGCAAGTTGTGCTCTGATCTGCCAACAACATTTGACTTGTTTTTTTCTTTCAGTTGCGAGAAAAAAAGTAATTTGAACGTAATATATGGCACTAATCCCTTTCTCTCTCTGCACACATTTGTTCACATTCACACTTCAGGACCAGATGAGCCGGACTTGTCCTTACGTTTGGGGCCGGGGCACGCACCATGGGCGGTGCGGGCGTGGGCATGATGGCGTGGGGGAAGGGCGTGAAGGTGTGCTGGTGTGTGTGCTGGTGGGTGTGCTGGTGCTGGTGCTGATGCTGGTGCTGATGCTGGTGGAACTCTGTGCGCAGGTACGGAGGTGGCCCCAAGGAGGCGCCGCGGTCCGCGCTCTGAGAGGCCAGAAAACGAGTGTTCAGCTCCTGACGCAGAATGTCTTGTTCTGGAAGACAAAACAAATGTGATCGCTCATTGTTAGTGTCGAACAGCTGGGAATTCACCGCTCGTTGCCTTGGATCAGTTTGTAATGTACAATGAACAAACAAATGCAAATACATTTCTACTTTGTTGTTCAAATATTTGGCTCACCAGCTGCCTTCACATACACAAAGAACGTGCATATGTTTATTGTATCTTTTCATTTTATTGTTAATGTAGTTTGATTTCTATTCCAGTCTATGTCCAAACTGGAGTGTATATTGTTGATTTCTGCCCCTCCTCTTACCCTAACCCTAACCAAGGCATTTATTTTTACAGGCAACAAGAAAGCGGAAACCAGTTTACATACACAAGGTGAGGCATACTTGTTATTGTCCCTGGGGGAGAAATATAATGACAGGATTGTTCTTCTCTTCAAACACTAGAATAGAAACACTGATCTTTTTAGATGTTTCCTGAAGTGTGAACCCTGCACGTACACAATCCACCAGCGTCCGATACAAATCCACCAACGTCTCACTCATATTCAGGATTTGGTTTGATGAGCTGGAAAGAGCTTTAGCAGCACTTGGGGCAGTGTGTGGTGAGTAGTGAGACAGTGGTGTATTTACCTGAATAAGCACCCCCAGCAGCAGGATGCGCAGGAACTGGCAGAGTGCTAGACGTGAGCGGAGGTGGAGGTGGCAGAGCGGCAGGAGGAGCGAACATATTGGGGTGATGCGAATGTGGCGAAGGCGGCAAGGAGGGGGGGAAGCCGTGGGGGGGACCGTGGTTGGCAGATAAGGACAGGGGGAAGGGTCCCACTGACGGGGGTGGGTGGTGGGGCAGATGAAGGGAGGGCGTCGGGGGCCCGTGGGGCCTGGAGCCCGGAGTGCTGCTCCTGCTGCTGCTGTAGAGACAGAAGAAAGAGCCCGGTTAAGTCAGGCGTGATGAGTCCAAATTAACACTTGTTTCTCCACCTCTCAGCTCCATCTGCAAAGTCCTATTCCCAGTACACTGTTTTCACACCTCAACTGTCCCATGCTTGTGTGTACTAATGCCTCCCTGCCTAACCCTTCTGCTCCACCAAATCCGGGGCAAATGCGATCTGTGAAAACACAACATTGCACCACCCTCGGATGCTCCTTCTGCTAAGCCTGCCAGCAGTGGTTTATTTGCATCCGACTTTGAACAGCTTCTGTTCAGAGACGCTTCCTCCAGAGCCAGGTAGTAAACATGTGCCTCAGAAATGGGATGAGAGCAGTGAGCGAGTGTGCATGTGTAAGCAAACAGTCTTTTGTAGTGTGTGTGGGTTTTTCCCCAGGGCCAGTCTCTGCACTTCATACTATAAGCCTAAAAGCTCATTTTCTGCACCCGCTCCTCTCCGTAGGCCTTTGCCATGATTATTCACAGCAGGTGCCAGGGCCTTGTGGTGCACAGGGAGACTGGCACAGGGACAGGTGCACACAGCCAAGTCCTGGGAGGATAAGCCAAGTCTGTTGTTAGGATTGAGTGGGTACAAGAAACGGCGTCTTAGATTAATGAATGATGCCCCACAGGCAGACTGACGCTGGCCCAGGACTGATCCCATTTCTACTTTCTAGACCAACCTAGATATTGCATGCTCACAAAAATCACTTTCTTTTATTTTTTTATCATGGCATGATGGCTCTATGACAAACCCACCACAATACACTACACTTTTCCTTGATTATTCAGGACAGTTATGATGATCCAGGACACTCAACATTCAACAACATTTATGGATATCAAAAAGTCCTCCAAGATAATACTGTTGTCATTTAGGGCTCCATCCATCCATCCATTTTCTACCCTTTAATCCATTTCTGGGTCAGGGGGGTGGCAGTCAGAGATACCACCCAAGTTTCATAGCAGTCATTTAGGGCTATAAAATTAAATTTAAATACATTGAATTGAATTGAATTACATACATTTCAGTATGGTTTTACAATCAGTTCTGTGCATATTTTGAGAAACAGTTTTACCTGTGGCCGTTGAGACCGTTGTACACCGACAGGGGGCGGGGGTGGCAGCGGGACGGGGGCCGCTGCAGGTGCTGATGCGGGTGGTGCGTGGGCAGAGCCGGAGACGGGGTCTGCGGCAGCGCACTGGGCGTTGGCGGGGGACGGGGTTGGGACAGAGTTTCAGGCTGCGTTCGGGGAGAGGGAAGAGGTGAGTTGGTGAGAGGCAGGGCGGCAGGTGTGCGAGGCCTGGGGGATGCCTCTGTCCGTGGGGGGAGTTTGGAGGCTGCCCGGGCGTGGCTGTTGGTCCTGTTGTGGCGCGGGGACAGGGGCTGGACCGCAGACACGGCCAGGGGGGGCGGAGGGCGACGAGGGGAGCCGGGAGCCGCAGACTGGGCGTCCCGACAGCTCTCCTGACTCCTCTCCTGACTGCGCTCTAGGCCTGACACCTTGAGGACACCCAGGCTGACAGGCTCCTGGCAGCCATTGGAGGAAAGAACGTTGATGCCAAAATCAGGAACTGTAACAACAAGAAACAACAAACATTACAATTTGCTATTTCACGCTGTAAGTGACAACAGTGAATATATTTACACGTCAAAACAAACTGAAAATAATCCAAAAGAAGACTCTACACTGTATCTCTTCGAACCAACCACACAAGTATAAAAAATAGCAACAGTCATTACTATTTTCACACAAAGGGCTGAATGAAATGAGAGAAAATAGAACCAAATTTTTTTTTTTTATACAACAAACACAATGGTTTCTTTATTGACAAACCTTCACACTGGGTGAGTGAGTAGAGGACATGTTTTTTGCAGTGACTGTGATGAGTGATGTATGTATATGTTTGTGTGTGTGTGTGTGTTAGTAATGTTTTAATTGTATTTTCTATTGAACAAGTCTGAAACATGGACTCTCATTCAATTATCGTTCATATAGCTGTAGTATTATCATCAACCTGACTTAAAGTGATTGTGCATTGTCCCTGATCAAATAAACACTACCACATTGTTAGTATCAAACATTTTCATGCAAATATAAAATTGCCATCTTTCCAATTTTGCCAAAGCCCTAACAGGAAGGACCCCTGGCTGATTTGGATACATCTAATTTCCAGAGCATCTCACCATGGGGCTGATTCACCTGGAGAACAGGTTCTTTGAGGCTCCAGGGCTGGGGCATTATGTCTAAAGCTGGTGTAATGTGCTCCGTGCTCTGTTGAAAGCACACAGAACAAAAGCTAATAAGCTGTATCCAGGGCCTTTCTCTACTGGGACAGTCCTGGAGAACAAAGTGTGGCGCAGCTGGGCAGCTCTCGGGGCGAGCCTCATGGGGAAAGACATTGCATACATGAAGTGTAATTAACTCTCAAAGGAGCGCGGGGACTTCAGAGCTCAGACCAGCATCGATAAGCAGTGCTTCAGTACCTCACCTGACAGGCAGAGGGCGATAGAAAGGCATGTTTGAAACAACATGTTTGTTGCATCACCAGTTGCATCACAGCACAAGGTAAATGAAAACAGCACAGGAGAAGAAAAACAAAAACAGCTCTATACTAAATATAATAAAACCTCTAGCTTTAGCATAATAAGGAAGCAGTCTATAATCTAAAATAAGAAGCAAGAATTAAGTACAAAATCTCTAAATTTAGCACAATAAAGAAGCAAGTTTAACAATTCTATCTTTGGCACAATAAAGAAACAAGTATGAATGCTGTGTATTCTAGTGCAGAAATATATATTGTAGTTGTATACATGCATACATCTGTACACAGCAGGATGAGCATAATCCTGAACAGGCACACCCAAACTCTTTATCCATTAACATGAAAACGATAAGAGGGTTTCAGAAGAGGTCAGAGGAGGTGATTCCTGGTAAGAGATTACAATCAATACAGACAATACCAAACTACTGCCGCTCTTTATAGGAGCTCACTCAAATAAGCACTGGCCTGGTGGGAAAGGTTTTGAAATAAGCTTCGTGATTTATTATCTCAAAAGCACTTCAATACACTTCCATTAAAGAGTATGAAACTACAACGTATTGCTTTTAAAATCATCATTTTCAAAACGTCAATCTTCTGCAAATGCTATTACCGGTCAAGAGAGACTGCTGCTGGCAAACAACTTTACCGCAGCAGATGGGAGGGAAGAAACATCCCAATTCCCAAATCTCGGAGTGCACACTGCAGTCCCAGAGGTGCGCGGCTTGTTTTGAGAATGTGCTAACACGCTAAAAAGAAGGTGTCTATTCTGGTCATAATGAAGACTCCAGGGCCGGGCAAAAGGAGGCTGTCCCCACGAGGGTTCATTTGTCAGTCTCCTTCATCCCTCGAAACAAATAAGTGCAAATCCCAACAGCTTTCACAAAGACTGGATCCCACGGTTTGGCAGTGTTTGAGTTGTTATCCAGTGCAGTGGAATATGTGATGTATGTATATGATTAAGAGCAGGGTCTTAGAGAGAGGTTAGGAAGTGAGGGGCAGGTGGGGTCAGCTGTGAGTCCCTCAAAGCCCCTCATTAGGCGGATGTGAGGGGATAAGTCCCAGTACCCCCAGTGAAACACTTTCTATGGTCGGTATTAGAATTAGAGGCCTCCTCCTGACATGGGTCCGCCGACACAATGACAGCTGCCAATAATGTAAATCCATCGAGGCTCAACATGTATTAGTGCTGAGATGTTACTTAGCAGATATCACCTTCAGCTTTATGGAACACATGTAATGCAGGGGGCCCCGACTTTTCCCCCTGGAGAGCTAGTGTTTCAGGATAAAAGTGGCAGTGAGCTACATTAGAAAGAAATTCAAGATAAGGGTGTGCTGCAACGGACAAAGTTGTTTTTCTTATTTAGATATGAATACATTTTGACATTCTTAAAACATGATTAGCTTTAGTCTCATTTCAAGTACAGCAAAGCAATTTACAACTTCCATTCCATTGGCAGTCCTTGTTTTAAAACGCCAACACTTTTCTGAGATAATGATGGCTTATGTTATCTATAAAATATTCTACTGTATTATTTGAACTAAAAAGGTAGCATGAAGGCAAGGTCTTTCCAAAACTATTCTTAAAGTCCAATGAAGAGCAACGTGTCTGCATCTGTTTTCAAAATTCCAAGAAACATGTGTCTGTGTGTGTTACATTATCAATGAAAGCATAGTGCACCCAAAGATTTAACAGAGACATCCTAAGTGACGGCAGCGACCTGGGACACCCTAAGCTTTCATGTCTTCTCTCAATAAGGCTGAAAATAGTGCAGCACATTCCCAACACTTGTTTATGACATTGCACCGGGCCATGGGTCACATAGCTCCAATAACACAAAACCAACAGGCTAACACATAACTGGAATCATGAGATCGACAACTGAGCTGCAACACGAGGAGGCTTTCACACTTAAGAAGTAAACAGAGGCATATGCAGACGGACGAGTGAAAGTTTTCCATTGTATCATTACGACATCCAATATATGAAGTTGACTCTTGCATGAGACAAAAAAGTGTAACTTTTGACACCAGATCCTGCAACAGCACGTAAACATGTTTTGAATGTGTCAGGACAGCTCTCACAGACAGTTACCATGTCTCAGAGGCTCTCCCTGACTAATGCTCTGAGGAGACAGGTTCTAGAGTCTGGAGTGAAGAGGGTCCAGGGACATGATGCAATGGCAGGTAACATACAGGTGCTGCCAGAACTGTCTGACTCACCCACTGTATCCTCTAGTTATTTTCACACTGAACAAAAGCCTGGGGTATTCGACCAATAATCCTCAAGGCTCCTGTTCCGTTGAGACTGAGCGACACAGGCTGGTGGGTCAAAACAACTCTGCAGGTGACCCTCCTCGGAGCAGGTATTCAGACAGCAACAAAACAATGCTGTTTTATAGCCCATGTGGTGAAGAAGGTTAGAAAACTACACACAAAATACAATACTCTGCATGATGAAAACGTAACACATCCTGCTTACTCCTCTATAAAGATGTCCTTGTGAAAAGAATGTTGTCAATGTGCCATTTGGTTCCGGGTTTAAATAGTATGCAGTTAGTACATCATGACTCATCATGTTCTAGGTCAACACTTCATCAGGTTTATCATTTTCATTAGACAGCCAGTGATACTAACATTCAGTACAGATGCCCTCAGCTTTAAAAGGTCTAAGCCACTGCTGAGAACAGAAACTTCAGCCTGGAGTCTCGTGGGAGTCCGGATGCCTCACAGCTTACAGGCATCCATGTTGGACATGCTCCAGATGGGCATCCAGGCACTGGGGCTTGACATGATGGACGCTCCCCTGCTGGCTCTTCCACACTATCCATCTTGTCAGCAGCCCTCTAAAGCTACAGCTTTGACTGAGATTAGGTTACGCTGCCGGAGTGTCCTGCTGCGTGGAGGGTCCTGGACTGGAGCTGTTTTATTAGAGCTAGTCTCCTGCAGAGCCTGGTTGCACAGAGGGAGGCTGACCAGAAATAAAAGTTGTAGATTAGATGAGAGAACAACTATTTTAGTTGTGAGAGTGTGACATGTGTAATGTTTCAGTAGGAATACCACAGCACATTGAAACGGGCTCAGTGTAACACAAAAGGGCAATCCGAGTGGGAGGTAGTGGCCACTTGTAAAGCTGACCCCTTTAACATCTATATTTTATGGCTGTCTCACTTATGAAATTTGTATTACAAGTTGTGAAGCCAAGGGCCCAGGCTTTTATAAATGGTGTACAAATGTGAGTGTCATGTTGTGCGGTAAACCAACTCATAAAGAACAGGCTCCTCTTCTGAGCCCTGCTGTCTGCCACTGTGATCCTCACAGAGATGGCTATGGTTTGGATAATTGGGCTTAAGCTACTAAATGTTTTGATCCTTTCTGACAGATGTGCCTGAACAGAAGGAGCAGCCAGACCACCAGACTGCACACAGACCCGGACCAAGAGACCAGATGACAAGGTACATAAACTAACACCTCGACCACTCGCTCGTCTTCCACCCGTTCAAGAAAGTGTAGTCTCAACATTTGCAGACATAGATCATATTTCCATTACTCAGTAAAAGCAACTAAATCTCTTCTTCTTTCTTTCTCATATAAAACAAGAATTAAAGAAATCCTAGCCTTAAATTTTTGATTTTTACATAATGGGATTCAGTGTGTCTAGAAAGATTTTTCATATACCACAATGAATCGTTGGGATGTGGTGTTCAGTTTCCCTTCACTTAAAAGAGCCTCTTAATATATCCCTGAGGGTGTGAGGCCAGGCAGCAGGGAGGTAACAGGAGAAAGCTGGATCAGGACCTGATGACGGGCAGGCTGGCACAGGTGACCACAGAGGAGCCAACAGGCCAGAGCGGGCAGCACCCGTGGGACACTTTACCTCTGGGTAACATATTATCGGCAAGTTTAGGTGTCAAATCTCTCTGATGCTTTGAAATAACAGCGGTGTGTAATGAGCATCCCCCCAACCCAAAGCAATTGGCCTGCACGGCGTGTCACACAAGTGTAAACCAAATCGAGACAAGGCAGCTGCGTAGTTGGCCAGAACATCTGACCTCCACATGTCACCAGCTCAAAGCCAGTCCAGTGCACTTCTCACAGGCTCTGATATCTGCACTGTTGATGAGTGACAAATGCTGCATGAATGACCAACTCATAGCCTTTCTGAGCCAAGTGGCCCTCAGGATGTATTTATGTATATGCTATGTATATGCTCAAACTAAAGTACATAAACTATATGACCCTCTTTGCATGAAAACATCTAACATTTAGTCGCAAAACTTCTTGAAAGTGCTCTAGATGACATCATTAGAATAATTCTAGTCACAATCACATCATGATATACATGGCACTCACGTGGTCGGAGGGATCGACATGTGATTCTTCTGTCACTGCAGTGGCTTAGAGGCACAATAGACAGCTGATCCAACAACACAAAAACCACTGAGTTAAATCCTGCTTAAATCCATTATGCTTATAAAAGTCCAGCGAGGATCATAAACATGTTGCACTCATCCGACAGATCTGTCTTTCCACGTGCTGCTTCTGGAAGTCCCCCATGCTGCCCTGCTCTCCATGGAACCCTGTCAGCCTGTCAGCTCAGCCCGCTGGACTGTACCAAACCCACCACAGGGGGTGACTGTCACAGTACAGACGGCTCCTTAGCTGGCCTCAGCTCTCTGGGGCTTCTTTGAGAGTTCCAGTTGCACTTAAGGGGGTGGAAGCACTGCTCATCTGTAATGTCAAGAGTAGAATGTGCCCCATTTCTTGTCCGTGTGTTCTTGTCCCCTCCTTGTGTGATTTCTGTGGCCAGGGGCAGAGTGTGAGTGTAAGTGGCTTGGAGCAATCAGGAGACTGACAGCTCAAGCTGACACAGTGACACCAGCATGATTTCAGCAGAGAGACAGACGCAGAGGCCTGCAGGAGAGATCTCTCCCCAGAGAGCCATCAGTCTGGGTCTCTTACACTTGCTTCAGTTGGGGCCAACTGCTAACACTAACAGCATGCTTTGACGGCCAGTGACAAAAGACTAGAGTAATCACAGGATAGAAAGTCTGAAAGCAGAAATCAGATTTGGAAAATCAGAGGTATCAATTAGTGTGTAGTGTCGTTAGTCGTTAGGTTAAAGGCACACCCCAATGCATCCCTCAGAAGGGTGTTCCCTTGTCTCTGCCTCAGCTTTATCAAGGTTTCCCAGGAGTCTGTAGATGTGTGTACGGTACATGTGGAGGTGAACCAAAGACATGCTCAAAGGGACTGGAACACACTGTACAACTTGCCAACATCATCATTATAATCATCTCTCCACACACCAACCATTTTCTCCAAAAATCTGTGGTAAGCCACATCAACACGCTTTTCAAAAGAAGACCACAAATTAGCTAAGGGCTATTGGCGGGCTCCACAGTGATGAGCTTGGTCTGTAGATGGTGATACTTACACAGGGCGGTTTAGTTATGGAGGTTGGTGGGGATTTGAGCTGTTTATTTGAACTGTGCGCCGTCCAAACAGTCAGCTGGCTCTGTGCGCTCTCATCAAGCCCACAGCTTAAGCCAGGATTGCAGTGTTGGTGGGGAGAGAACAACTTGATATCCCCCTTTGGGCAGGGGGTGCCTGGAGCTTGGGTTACTCGGAACAATGCCGGTTCTGTCCAGGCCCCCTACTTGGTGAAGGCTCAGACAGGCCTGCAATTCGCTAGTGTCAGTCGTGGCCAAGTGAATCTACATCACCACCACAGTGTGTAGCATGGCTTCCAAACCACTCTAAATGGCCCAAAGAGAGCCCCTCCATCAGCAGGATACAGCAAGAGCAGACCATAATTGTGGAACAGCCAGTTTACTTAGCACAAAATACAAAAGTAGCCTCTTTAGGGATTTGGCTTTTTTGGATGATGTGTCTACAGTAAAGCCGACACGTGGAACGCAGTGAGGATGTGGACCCCGTGGAATGAAATAGATCTCTTCAGGACCAGAATAATCTGTACCAGATGGTGACAGTCCTACAGACATTGATCATTAGGACAGGCCTCAAATATTGTCAATCCAAGCCTGCAATAATTTAACGAGAATATATTCTTCCCCAATTCTATATTCATAAATTATCCTCTCTGCTAATTCTCTCTCTCTTTATTGTAACATACTACAGATAACAGCCACCAACAGGGGGCAGTGTTGTATTTCAGAACTTCCATCCCCCATGTGCTTGTGGAAAAAGAATGAAATGAGGGGTGAGACAAATGAAAGCCAGGCTGGCTTTGCACAGTGGAAACACATGCAGGGGATATGCGGAGTGCTGCTAACAAACCCAGCTCGTGCTCTGTAGTCCGCTCTAATCTGCCCTGCGGCTCACAGGCCTCTGTGCCCTGCATATTTATGAGAGCAGAGAGGGCCAGACACAAGATAACCTCCTCTCTTGTGGGAGCAATTATAGCCCCGCTTTCATCTGTCCTCATCAGCTCCTGCCCTCTCCTGTTCATTTAGACCTGTGCTGCGTGTCGTCCAAACATCAACAAGAGGAAACAGAGCAACATGTCAGATGTGGTGGACGTGATCACTGCTCTCTCTCAAAGCCACAGTCTTCATGGATGTTTCCTTTCTGAAGTAGGAACTAGAACCCGTTAATTAGCCCATTAGGTGTTTGCTAATACTTTATTCATAAGACAAGACAAGTTTATTTGTATGGCAGAATTCATACACAGGGCAACTGCTAGTTTGAGATGATTGGATAGATTCACATTTGCTATAGACTAGAATATAACTCTAAATAAAAAAAAACCTTGCAATATGAGGGGGCTTTGCCAAAGTCACGTATGCTGTGGGGACCATGGCCTGACGTAGGCGTAATTGGCCTGAGCACAGAGCGCCACAGTGGGGATGCCAGCCTCCTGACAAGCGGCGTGTGTGCGTTTGTGTGTGTGGTGCCTTGACCCTGTTAATGCTTCGCAGTTGGCAAGAAAGCGGCCCATGTCACATTGGATCAGTGCAGGCTGGTGACACTGATGGGGGTGGAACTCTCCAGGGACCAGAGACTGAGGCTTTCAACACCTCCATTCAGCCGGACACATCCATCAGCGGGTGACATCTTTACTGTCACCATGCACTAATAAAACTCCCACTGCGTTCAGGTTTGTTATGGCATTAGCCTTCAAAATAGTCTCCCTAAATATTATTCTTGTTATGGAAAGCAGATTTGTGAATAAACTGGGAATGTGTTCATAGGTTTTACGCAGACCAATAGCAAATACTCCACAGAGCATCACTTCAAACAGCCAACAGAAGCTGTACAGTGCTGACCCACACTGGCTGCTGAACTCCACATATCTCAGAGTGGCAGAGCAGGGGAGACCAGCCCGAAAACTGGGGCCTTTGACTTTGATCTCTGGAGTGCAGCCCATTTAAATGTTTGTGTTTCAGATGTAGACCTTTAATTTGGCCTGATGGGTTCCAGGCTCTTTGGGCTTAGCATGGCATGTCGGATATTGGAGTGTTTACACAGTCTCCCTCCAGCTCTCCTGGTGCTGAAATAAGTGCATTAAGATGGATGGATTTACTTAGTCTCTAACCTCAAGACCTGGGGAACAAACTCTCAATGACCTCTTTGTGCTGTTGATGGGGGAGGAAAGAAATGGGTGTGTGCAGATTGGCTCCATTACATTCACTCAACCAATTACTTCCATTTTTATCGGTATACATTTAGCCACATTTGAAACCTTAACATAACGATGCATGTTTGTGTGCAATTATCTTTCAAATGAAGGAGCTGAGATAGCACAAAGAGGCTTATGTCTATCTGCTCTGTATTCAGGCACAGTGGTCAGTGAGCTGTCCTGCTGGGGGCCGGGTCATTGTCTGCATCAGCAGGGCAGTAAATCACACTGGGCTCCCCTTGATTTGTTAACCTTTGTTTGCCTGTGTCAGCAGATGAGGCATAGCTTGAGTAGATCTGTGGCGGAGCTGAAATACAGCTGCTCTGCTGAGGCACCATTGTAGTGAGTTGGGAGGAGGGCACTGCACGCTGTTGCACAGGATATTGAGCTTCCTTTACCCCTAGAGATGTATTAAATGCTCCTAGCAGGAGACAGCCAAACAACAGAAGCAGAAAAACCACTGGGGATCAGCGTGGAATCTGTCTCACTGATGGATCATACAGACTACAATCCTTCAGATCATCCACTTATTTGTCCAAACAGACTGCTTATTAAATACAAAGCCACTTATGGATGAGAAGGGAAAGGGATTGTGAATGGCTGTTGTGCAACCACTCTTATCCCAGCGGTTTAGGTCTGGGTTATGCTTGTGTAGACCATCGCCCTGCCTGTGACCTCTACACTGGCCTGAAGGCTCTAACAGTCTGCCCTTGACTGCACTGAGGAGCAGCGCACAAAAGGCCAGTGCTCAGGTCATTCATCCACTGTGCATCAGGTCAAGTTGCTTCTGACACCCAAACCCACACAGACACAGAGGTGTGCGAGAGGAGCCCGGGGCAGTAAACCAACACGGGCCAGACATCTCTCCAGTGGCTGCCCCAGTAAGGAGGCTGCGGTTGTGATTTGTGGCATGATTGTTGCTCTCTTTATCACTTGAGCTTACGGCAGGTGGTGGCCCGCAGCCTGGAAACACACAACTATCAGCATCGCTCTCCTCAGGAAACAGCAGAGAAACACTCCCACACAGTAATATGCTCGGAGGCAGTTTCCCCGGCTCTGTGACAATGCAAGGAGCTCTTCACTTCTGATATGTGGCGCTAAAGTTCACCTCCACTTTTCTCTCTTTCCTCTATTTTTTTAAACAATGCCATCAGCGCTGCAAATAACACCTTCCACATTATTCTCTCCCCTGGCGACAGACGCACTCCAGCCGACACACTTCAACAGCAGCACTCTTCACGCTGGCGGCAGCCCCGGGTCTCAATGTAGCACCGCTTCATTTTCACATTAACTCCAGCAAAGCATGGTGCAATCAGCGTGATGCTGAGGGGGAAGTGAGAATCACTACAGCGAACACTAGAGCCCCCCCACCACAAAGCTTGCACATGTGCACAGCGCATGAGGAGGCCTAGAGTGGAGTCGTGCGTCACACAATTCATAGTAGTAGTTCAACAGAAACAGAAACAGACAAAAAGTAAAGCCCTGAAGATTTACAATTGATAGTAGATGACTAAAACCAATAACAACAAGTAATAAAGAGAAATTATGTAACAAACATGTCGGCAACCCAAGTCGCTGTATAGAGAGTGCCCTAGGTGTGGCAACTACTTTGGAGCTAAAGGGTTAACTTACAATAAACTTGTCTAATCTTTTAACGTGAATCTCGTCTGAGGTGTTTGTCTATTTTTCTAGTTCTGTCTTTAGCGTGGATCTAGAGTCTGAATAAAGATAATATGATAATGTTTTTCTTATATAGTTTAAAATGTATGAAAAATGCTTGAGAAATATACATTTTGGTCCTGTTTATGTCATGTTATTTTGCATCTACAGTTGCTCAAACTAGTATTCAGTTTTGATACTAGTTTTAGTATGCACCGTTATTTCAAAATTGATTCATATCTGACTTTTGATACTTTTGACAACCCTTACTGTATAAGAAACCAGCTCCCTCAAAACAAGAAAATTCCTCAACTCTTCCCTTTTCCAATATCGTCCTTTATCATAATTGACTGCTTTCTATTGAAGAGGGCTACTTCCTTTCGCCGCAGTGCTTTGCAAAGAGCTCGAACCCAAGGTAAGTTCTGTTTTCCAGTCGCCGCAGCTGTAGGACTGGAGCCGCACTCTCTTTTGCCAAAAGAATCCGATTAGCGAGCCGACACCTGCAGGCGTATTGACAGGCGTGGTAATTAGAGCTAACACCTAATGACTCTTAGTTAATGAAATCCATTCCTGGGCAAAGTGAGCCAAAGGGCGTAAGCTGAAAAACAAAAGGCTGAAGACTAAAAGCTCAGTATTAGACAAGCGCGCGCTGACACCGATGGCCCTGAGGTGACGCCAACACGACAGCAGCAAAACAAATAGATGCCTGAATATACAAAAGATGCGTTCTCATCAGAGGATTTTCTGTTTAAAATGCGGTGTAGGCCCGGGGCAAGAACAGCGACGAGACACAATGGGTTTTGAGCGAGCATGAAAAATACAGCGTAATTATTGAGTAGGTGAGGAGGCGAGGAGATTAAAAGATGAGGGGCCAGTGCTAAGTCTTCAAAGAGACCTGAACTTGCCCACGGCGGATTTCCACTCATTCTGCACCCACCAAACAGCCAATCATTGACGCGCACAGAATGAAAATAGTCTTCTTTGCACGCAGGGCCATCCTCAATAGCAGTTTAATGTGTTCAAATGATAGGCTATACAAGTTATTCATCATGTGTTGAATGCTATCACAATGTTATCAACAAGGTTCCTGTTTTTATTATTAGCATAACTGCATAGTGTCAACATTTCAAGGCTTCTTTGCACCTGCTGCTGGGCAAATATTGACATGGCCCCAGCCGCATTCGCTATTTATGTTGGAGCAGTTGCTTGTCATGCAGTTTGCTTGTATTTGTCTCCTCGTAATCCTCTCTAACAAAAGCCCAAGCCTTAATCTCAACACTAGCTATAAAAATACCACTGCTTCAAGTGCTATTCGTGCACCTGGATTCTTTTTCTCGCCTTTTGCCCCACCACGACCATTAGCATAAGGTGACACAGAGAGCAGCGGCACGGTCAAAAGCGCGGATATTTAAATGGAAATGGAGGCCAGGAGAGTGGAGCATCATGCGGTGTGTTTTGTGTACTGTTTTCCAAGTCTGCTCCTTTCATTAGAGTCATACAGAGGAAAGAGGACAGCCCTCTGTTGATTTAGGCCGCACAAAGGGGGCCTTAATCCTTTCAAGGGACCCAAATCAGGCCACATAGGAGCGCGTTCAAAAAGGAAACCTCCCCATCGAGCCGGCCCATTGATTCTGCGCCAAAACACGCCACAAATCAAGCCCTGGGGAATCAAAGGCCACAATGCGGGAAGTGTCAGTGTGGGGAGCTGAGTGCAGGGAGAGCACGGAGAAAAGGCAAGGCTATAGGTGTACACAATGACCTCTGCACACCCATTTGTGCTGCAGCCATGAAGAGGTCGCAACCCTGGTCCTGAGCCTGCCAGCCGGGTAACTCCCCCCCATTACACAGGAATGTCCATTCACCCAGCACCTCCATTATCCCCTGCGCACTAAACAGCACTGCTTTTAACAGCAAATTAGTGACTTGATAATGAGGTCACATGTGGTGCGACACACTGAGCCCATAAACAGATGCTTTTCCTCTGTCCTGAGCCATTTGAGCTGTCCGCAGAGATGGAAGTCTACTGTACCACTGACATGAGCCATCTGTGCCTTATAGAGTGGACACAACCCAACAATGAGCATTTCAAAAAACAAATAGCGTGTCATTTTCCCCCAACACATCCATTATAAAACACAATTATTCAAATAGTAAATGCATGGTGATAAATGTGATGTACCTTTAGTTGCTGTGCTGAAAAACCTCTCCGAGCCCGCATCAGAATTCTGCAAGAAAAAGGGAGAAAGGTGTGTTTAGAATAATTGTAGTAAAATGGCTAATTGAGAAGTGAAACTGAAAATGTGACGCAAAGCACGTGTGTCTGAAGAGATGCCTGGATGTAATTGCTTCACATGATTCAGGCTTCATAAACCACAGCTGTCAATTAAAAAGCCCAAAGACAATCACGTTTTAGAGACATGTTGAGAAGGACTGTAATGATAGTCCCTTTGCTTACCACTGGATGGCACTGTGGCTCCACAACACACACCTCTGCGCCTGTGGAGACTCACCTCATAAAGGAAAAGGAAATATACCTCATCTTCTACAGCTTTGATTTAAGAAACGATGTGTCCTATTAGACGCATTACAGACAGTGTACGAGTCTATATTATTGTCATATTGAAAGAATGAGGCTTTTGGAAGCGCGCACAGGAACAACGCCAATCTCCATCAAAACACAATGGTCACAGTAGACTCTAGAGAATCATCTCCTTCCCAATAGCACATACAGGAGTTGTCATAAAACAGGCTGAGTGATCAAGTTATGGATACAATACCGAACAATAGGCAATAGGACATATCTGTTGTTTTGCTGGAGGAAACTGATATGGATAAAAGTAGCGTGTAATCTATTTAGTTATTATAATACCAAGCAAAGACTGTTGCTAAATTACACAGTCTTGGTTAAAACTGCAGTAGTATAATAGTTCCGTGCATACCTCTGATGTGGCGAGACGTCAAGGTAAGTCCGTGATTATTTGGTCTGGGAAATATGGCCACTCTTCACATTCTGCAGCTCAAACAATATATTCCACATAAGGAGTGAAGAGATCTACTCCGTCCATAGCGATGACAGCCATGCAGAAAACTGGGAAGCCTTTCCAAGAAAATCCAACGCTGCGCACAAAGCTATTGCGCTGTTTGGACAAAGAGCGCCATATGTGTCACAGTGCCCGTCTGCGCACCCGCACACGCCTTCTCCCGGGCTTCAGCGGATCCGAGCGTGTAAATTCTCACAAAGATCCGAAAAGGAACAAACAACCCAAAAGCGTGTCTGCGCATAAAAACCAGCCAACTCAACAAATCAATCCAAACAGCGTGAGCTCCTCATGTGGCGCGGCTGCGCACGGACTGTGGGTCAGGACGCGTCCTCTCCAAGCTCCGTGTCTCCTTCCCGGTGTCGGTGTCGGTGTCAGCTGGGTGGGTGCGTGTCACTCCGCGCTGGTAGACTCCGTACAAACTCCCATTCATCCCGTGAAGCTCCGAGCCGATGCGCACAGGTCCGCCCACTTCTTCATGTATAAAATAGACCAGGCTCAGATTCTGTGAGACTAAAAGAATACTAGAAAGAAGCGCCCAAAGCTGCTGCTGGAGCGCACCTCAACGCGTCTCCCTGTGGCGTAAATGGCGCGCGAAGGAAAAGAGGAGACAAGCACTGGCACTGGCTGGAGAGAGAGAGAGAGAGAGGAAGGGAGGAAGGGGAGGGGGGCAGGCAGAAAGATATTCGTTCTGTTGTGAGTGAGATGATGTCAGCCGCTAATGAATTCCCCAGCAGGCGGCTGCTACTGGGAGAGAGCAAAAACGTTTCTTTATGAGCAACGTGCAGCTCTCCACTGGCCCCCAGCATCTGCTCATCTCGTCTTATTCAGTTTACATTGGCTCATTCGGACGTGAACCAGCTGAGTGGGAATATCAGCAGGTATGTGGCCCACCCAAGCTGGGCACCCAGAGTCGCCAACGAGTCTCAATGAAATGTCCGCCGCACAACCCTAGAGACCATATACTTCCTCTGAGCTGGTCTCCTGCATGGACTCGCTGAAGCAGTTTATTCAACCGAGGGGCTTGTTCTCTGTGTAAGCCTCTGTAAACCACTGGTGGACTGCAACAGGCCGCTCTGAGGGCTGTCCAACCAGGATTCTTGTGATATCTGTCATGTGCCTTGTATTGTTGTTTGATCTTCAAATAGAAATCCCAAACAAAACAAAAAAATCTATAATGAAGTATTATGGAGAGTCTATGATCCCAAGACATCGTTCAACTGCTGTCATCTGAACAAAGTTTCCGGCATCAATATGTTTGAACTCCCAACCAGAAGAAATGTTCTACGATTGATCTTTATACATGGATCGACAAAACGAAAGGATGCCATGTCTGTTTAATGCAAATGTGATTATATAAGTTCTCAAGACAAAGCCCTTAAGTAATATGTGTCTTCCCCACGTTTCACAGAAGAAAGCTGCAGAGACATATGTGCAGAGGATGTTAAAAGCCAGTAGAGACTACGTTATCTACTTATCTCCTTATCGCTGCTCTCTGAAAGCAGCCTGGGCCCGGGCAGTTTGAGATAAATGGCCTGATCAATGGGAGACATTATCTGGATCTGGTAGGCAATAATCAGATCCATTTGACATTGTGCCCGTGCAAGAAACCAGGCTGTCAGCAAAGGGACCAGATTACTCCTCCAACCATCAGTCTAACGTCGCTGCTTAGGGACTCCCTTTGAAAACAATGCAGACAAGAAAATGGGTTTAACCTTCTCTGCCTCTTTAGTTTCATCCCTAATGCATTACATCTATCTCAAATCGCAGAGTCGCTAGAGAAATGGGAAACCTTTTTGGTTAAATTACAGACATTGCCGTGGAATGTGGGCTGTGATGCTGGGGATAATTTCAGGCCAGTCAATCACAAGCTCTCTTTTGACAACAGCATATGGGCGATCACTTCAAAACGCACAGATGCTTGCCAGAAACCGCTGGACGTGTCTGGTTGAAGGTTTTATAAATATATAACTGTAATTAAGTCGATGCACCACTGCCACACAGGCTAGCACATCTTTTACAACACCATGAATCATTTCGAAATATTAACTTGTATCGACTCCTAGCTCTGTGGTAGTCCATCCCCCATGCACCACTCGAACAAGCCTCTCCAGAGCTCTCTGCGTGCTCCACCGCCCAGAGTGGGAGTGTGATGATGGGCTCTCCACAGGGACAAGAGACGGCCCCTAGACATCAAACGCCTGCAGCCTGCTCTGGGTTCCAGCTCCACCCCCTGCCCCCTCCCACGTCTTGCTCTGTCACTCAAAGTGCTATGCGGTGGCCAATCAGATAAGATATTGAGACCAAAATACAGCTAATATTGTTGGGCATTAGGTTGAGGGAAAGTTATATGTTCATCAGAGACTGTGGCCAGCTGCAGGGGTTCTGCTGTTGACATGTGAGCAGGCTGCTTTCCTCTTTGAAGCCCTGTACATTTAAATATTTCATGGCCCTCTTCTATACCCCTTTATCAGATTTGTGTCAGGCTCATCGCTGCTGTTCATTATTAGCACGAGATGACTTCTAGACTAGATCTAGTGCTCTGGCATGAGACATATCCGAAAGCTCTCCTACATCCAGCCCGTTTGGCACTCGGCTTATCTCCAAGACAATCTCGTTAAACGCTGGTAACAATTACACCAATTACAGATAAGCCTAAGTGTGTCAAAGCCGCAACATGATGTTTACAATGATTAGCATGCGGCGCTATCAGCAGGGATGATAATCAGCGCTGGAGCAGGGTGCTTTGTGAGATCACAGGCCCCTTTATCTGTCACTATCGATAAAAGGCCACAGGCTGCACAGACCTGAGCAGAGCTGTCATGTTTGGCACCAGCTTATTTAGCTGGCACCTTGTCCCACTGAGAATAAACCAGGCTGACAGCGGCTTAACACAGCATCATATAATCAGTGATATCAGAAAAAGCAACATCAAGACAGCGCAGACTGCTATTCCTGGTTATGATTGTCGAACGAGTATCAAAAAGAGCACATTTAGGTGCCTCCACAGCCCCTTGATCTGTTCTCACAGTAAACACTGATCAGATAAGTGCTTGTGTGTGTTGGAGTGAAGAAGTTGTCCAGTAGATTTCCAAAAGGGTGCACGCACGCCTGACGTGCTGCATCCGTCTTGAGACATGAGTGGCGCGCTGCTGAGCTGGCATAAGGCTCTGTTTGTCTGCTGTAATAGAGATGCCTTTGAGAGCAGCCTGTATCAGCCCGCAGGACACATTCCACACTTTCCTCCACAAACTGTGGCCTGCTGTCAGGCTGGGGTCCTAAATGTGCACATTGTGGGGGCTCTGCTGCCTTCTGACACGGCCACATTCACAGAGGGTTATGTGAGTGGAGTTCCCAGGGCTCAGAGCCTGTTTTCTCTCACAGAGTGTCGGCCTTTCTGTAAACAAGAGTGTTGTTTGTGTTTGTTTATGTAATTAGATTTTGTTTTTCCTGTTAAAGAGCTATCGGGAGAGTAGACTGAGTGGCAGTGTGTGCAATGGGAGAACGAGCCAGAGGTATCCTTCAGTTTTCTCTATGCTGTTTTCTGTTCAACAGAGGCTCACTGGGACTGGGAGAGTTAAAGGGCCACCCAGGACCGGCGCTCTAAGCCTGATCATCAGTGGCTGTCTCAGCATGGCTTACATGTGGTCTGTTTACCAACAGCAGGCTTCAGCAGGATGATCTGTGTCAGCCACACTCTCTCTCCATGTCACACGCACACTCGCTCTAAGAGGATTGTCACTGTTACAAGGACGTGGGCATTTCAACCTGACCTCATGTGCCACAGTGGACAGGAAAACCCAGGCTCTCCGTCCACACTGTGGAAAAAACTAAAGTGGTCAGGGCTCAGTTCACCTTTCTTTGTGACCGTGACCTCTCCAGCCCGTCTGCAGACACACAGATAAACTCTAGAGACTCAAAGGTTTTGGGAGCATCATGAGAACATGTTCATCAAAAAAGACTAGACTAGACTTTTATACGATGAAACGCACTGACAAGGAACATTTAGAAGTGTACTTTAGTCACACTAAATGGGGCTTAGGCACCACTACAGAGAAACGTAACAGGACCCGGCAGCCCTGCTCGCACCTGTCACCCGGAAGGCCAAGGGCACAACACCTGACACAGATAATGAATTCACACTGGGGATGGCGTCACAAAGCCTCGCTCTGCCATAGAGAACCAACTATAGCACCATCAGCCTACAATACGAGAGAAAACACAGTAAGTATGTGCGTCAAGAGACACATTTCTGTATACAGCCGCTGCTGCTTATCCTCCTCAGACCTCTATAGATGCCAGATGTCTGTTTAAAAATAACAAAATACATACATATTTTGGTTTTGCTTGGTGTTACTTTGTTCCTCTCTCCAAACAGGAGAGTTGGCTTACTCTGCCAGATGCTGATGCATTTTTCACAAAAACGTCATGTTCCTCAACATTAAAAAGCAATTTAGCACTCCCAGGATTTAAAGCGCATGTTAAATTGAAGGCTACACTTGACGTCGGCATGAAAAATTGAGTGGCTCCTTATTCTAACTAAGTTGAGCACAGCACGCAGCGTTTAGACACACAAACTGGAGACTTAGGCATAACTAATTTATCAAGAGGAAAGCTGTTCCAGAGACAACTGTGGAAGTGCTGCAGCGCAGGACAAGGTGTCTGAGGGTGTTGCAGGACACATGAGAGAATATATACTACTACTACTGGGCGGCACGGTGGCTGAGTGGATAGCACTCTCGCCTCTCAGCACGAATCCCGGTCGGAACAGGGCCTTTCTGAGTGGAGTTTGCATGTTATCCCTGTGTCTGCGTAGGTTTCCTCCAGGTGCTCCGGTTTCCCCTACCACTAAAAACATGCACAATAGGTATGAAGGTAAATGAGAAAGTGAATGGATGGTGTTGATCGGGGGCTGATGCAACAGTGTGTTCAGCGACTCGCTTCTGTCATCACTGTGTGTGGAATGATTGGAACAATATCTGAACTCTGAACATTGTAAAGTGCTTGGTCTGTAAAATGCGCATATAAATAAACATTACTTACTTACTTGTAGCACAACCTACATGTGATAGATTGATCCTGTCAGATCTCAGAAGCTATGCAGGACAGGGCCAGGTCAGTACTGTGATGGGAGACCTCTGGAATCACCAGGTGCCACACTGGGCAGCAGTAAAGTGCCAAACTTTGTTGTGTGTTGTTGTGTCCTTTGCCAAGACTGGTGCTGATGGCCCAGATCACAAACCTCACTGAATAAAAGTATTATGCGTTTTTATTTATTACAAGGTTCTTTGATAAGCACCCTGGGTTGCATCTGTATAATGATGTACTCTGCTTTGCCTTACGACTACTACGATAGATTATATCTAGGATCACGTGTTATGGAAATATAGATTCACAGAAAAAGTCCTGAGGAGCACTCCCCACAAAAAGCTTTTATATTTCACCACATTTTCAACACTTCAAACCCAAACCAGTGTTTGACCAGCGTCTGAAAGATACAGTATGTTAACGAGGGAATTATAACAGAAAATCCAAACATGTAGCTTCTATCCATCCATTACTCTTTTATGAAACTATTCAGTGAGTTACTCAAAGTATTATGGAGTCAGCTTTTACACCACGATCTCACCGAGTGGACCGCGGCCTCACTTACATATAATGATGGATGCTAATGATGCCCATAATTACGCTCTCTAAAATGGTGAAAATGGCCGTTCTTTTACAGCCCTTTATCTATGGGCAATCTGTGTAATAACTGTTTCAGTGATAAACAGTGATTGCCCGTGTCTGACCTTTGCAAACAGCATGTTGAAACCAGGGTAATGTTTGACGTTACATGGTCATTTGTGTAGTATTTGACCACATGCTCCTGTCCAGGTGATGTTCTAATCTAGAGACTATTTGTGAACGCATCAGAGCATAGATGAGGTTATATACTGGCTGGGCTACGCCGTCACATGGCACAGATTACGCCTGTGTTTCGCCAAATACCCCATAATGTAATCAAGCAGCTTTGAAGCCCCGAGACGCTCCGGAGGCGGTTGTAATGAGGGCGAAATGAAAGCGCTCCCGCCGCCTGGACCACTGCTCAGATGAGACCTTTATCAGCAGCAGACAGAACCAACAGTGAGACAAGCAGAATGTGGTGTGGAGCGGACCATCTATCATAGACTGAGACACATGGCACTAATCTACAAGGCCTGGGTCTATGAGCAAGAACTGAGGGACTAGGGTTGGCAAAATGATCAAAAATCACATAATAGACAATGTTACAACCGGTATTGAAACTCAATACTGATGTTAGTAAGTATCTATACCATAAAATGATATAAGCAACAACATGTTAGTGGTGGAAATCGGCAAAAACATGATGATTCGATAGTATTGCAATATTTGGGTCACAATTCAATATTATTGTGATTCATATTTCGATACAGAAAGTATTGTGACTCAAAAGTCACACTTATTACTCTCTGCACATTAAATGAAGTGTAGCGGGGGGTAGTGCAAAAATGTCCAAACTTTATAACGTTTAGGACCCAGGACAAGACATGATCATTCTCGAAATAAATGATATCTTACATGAATGGTGAGCTCCCGCACGTAACTTAAATTATTCAATTACAATAGACTACAGTAGTAACACAAAGCAGAAGAGTAACATACACCTCAGAAGTAAATTACCTGAAAAAACATGAAGGTGAAACACAATATTACTGCTCTACTGCATGGATTTGATTTTAAAAATATCACTATCTTTTTTTCCCCACCTCGAAAAGTACGTAGTATAGTAATTATTTTTTTCAAAGTTGAACACCAAAGGATTAAAACAACAAGATACAAAAATAAACCGCAATACACCGTTTGAAAACGTTCTCATACAACACAAAAGACACAAGACACATGCCCGTGCACTCTCTGACCCTACACTGAACTATACTTATCAAAGAGGCACATTATTTTGATATACATTTCTTGTCCAAAAGCAGCAGTTTTAAATACTTACTGTGGTATTCAACTCAAGTTTGAAATGTGGTTCTGTGACAGCTCTGAATTGTGGTAAAATATAAAAGCTGTCCTGCGTTGAACTGAAGTGGACCGATAACCCAAAGTGTGGCCTGGTAAATGACACTTTTTGTTATAAGGAGACCTTTTATAGTGTAGGGCAGCCATTCCCCCCTTTAAAATTTGACGGGTCTGTGCGGCCCCTCCGAAATACTAACCAAGAAGACAACGTTAAAAATAGCCTCTTCTCGTTATTTTATTTGGGGGAAATAGCCTCTGCTACAAACATGTAAATAATGAACACAAATATTTTAATCTTTTTTTATGACCTCTCGTGGCCCCCCTGCAATACCCTCACGACCCTGGACCCCACTTTGGGAGACACTGGTGTAGGGGACATGAGATCTGTATTGTAAAGGCTGGTACATGTCTACTTTACTTTAGCTCACAATAAAACCAAAACATTATTTTGACATTGTCTCTTTGGATCTTTGGAGAACTATGAAGCCAATACTATAATAATACAGATTTACCTACTTACCCGATTTATATTGTCAACTTCTGATTTCCTCAACAATATTCACACGAGCCTTTTCAGTCATTGTGCGTTTAAAAATAATCTTTGTACTGTGTCAACAAATAGTGTTAATTATGTTAGAAAGGTGTTTAATATTACAGCGGTGCACATTTTAACAGCTTTTGTTCCAGACGCTCAGAGCTGTTTGTTCCGATCATTATGGTCCTCATAATAGAACAAAGCACTACATTAATAAACCCATTAGAATTAAGGAGATGCAGTACAAGCAGTTCTCAAAATATCCAATTAGCATGTACTGCATCCGTCCTATACCTTCCTCATAATATCGCTAAAAAAGGTACAAAACACATTTATTGTTACTCTTAATGAGAAAAACTGCCGGTAGCTGTTGACTTTTTTGGAAGTTACGTTCACAATAAGGAACGAACAACAATATAATGGAACAACAGGCGGAATTATTAAATGAGCCAAATATAAAGAGGTGTTTATTATAAACGGTTTTCTATTTGATAATTGCAGGAATATAGGTTTTACAGCAGAAGTTGGTTTTTTCGGCATCCAGGTTGGATAGAGGAAATGGCAGTCATCACTATAGTCCAGGATCAATGCTTCAATGGGTCAGGGTGGGGTTAGGGGTCAGAGGTTAGAGCTAAGGCTAAGGCTAAGGCTAGGGCTCAGGTTCACTATGACTAGGGTTAGGACTAGAGCTAGGTTTAGGGCAGAGCTGTCAAACACCCCAGCAGGTTTTTGTTCCTGCAGTCACATCCCTCATCCCTACTATTATTTGTATTCAAAATAATAAGTCCAAAACTCTCTTTTGACAATAGCGCTAATCAAATAAAATAAAGAATTTGTGTATTGCCCTAACACTTAATCGTCCCTCTCTGCTGTTCACATAAACACACTGGGAAGCAGGACCCCTAATAAAAGAAATACATATATTGGCCACATCGCTATACAAGCCATGGGGTTCAAAGTAAGTAAGTAAGTAAGTAATCATTATTTATATACCGCCTTTTCACTGCAGATTTAAAGGACTTAAAAATTAGAGGCTTATATTGCAGCAAGCACTTAGACTCTCTAAAGCCAGGCACTGGTTTTAATGGATTGGTTTTATTACACTTTTTTGACACTAAAA